CTGCGGACAGCAACGGGGAGAGAGAGCCCTCAGCCCCCAGCGCCGCCCCGGGCACGGCCCCGGGCACGGCCCCGGGCACGGAGCTCCCCTCAGCACAGCCGGGAGGGAGTTTCCTCACGCTGTGCCAATTATCGTTAAAGGAGCTTTAAAAATGACATGCAATAGGTGGTTTAGGGCTTTTTAAGCTTCTGCTTTCTACGGCTGTAAGGCTTGGTGACATCCGGCTTTTCTTTGATAAGCCCTCAAGTTCTCTTTTAATATCAAAATACATCCTGAGATTCAGCAGCTAAAGCTTTAAAAGACAAGACATCAAGTGTGACAATTCCCATGATAAAAACACATCAGCTCCTACGAAACAGTTGCTTTGTTTGCAATCGCTTCTGTAGGTAGCCCCAAAATGACCAAATTCAATACTGCTGGAAGAGCACAGCTCTTATTTGAACATTCACTTGAGCTGGAACACTTTACCTACAACCTTTACCAACATCTTTACCTACAACCCACAGCTCTCTTTGACTTCTGGGCGATGAGTCTGTACACCTGAGTCTAGGGAAAACCGTGGCAGCTTGGTCAGACTAGAGGTGTCTAGCTTCTTACTGAAGCCCTGGGAGATTTCATCATCTGCCCAGTTTCCCAGTGTGAAAAGAATCACCTCTTTTATTAAAAACATGAGCCTGAAATGATCTACCTCTGGGAAACCCACGCTGCATTTTGCTTCATTGTCTGCTTGCCTTCACGTCTAATTAATTTTTCCTCAAAAACCTGTTCAAGTCTTGCACGCTATCTAAGCTTGTGAGGAACAAGTCTCTGATGGTATAGATCATTTTCTTAAGGAAAGAGACTTTATTTTCCATTCTTAGACTATACTAAAGAAGTCCTACTAAACTACCAACCATGCTCCATGTCCAGCACTGGCTGACTTCAATCAACTGGTTTACTCTACATACAAGGGACAAATGGGAAGGTGAGCATGAAGGTGAGGAGCAACCCCTCATCCCCCAGCACTGGCCCTAGCACTAGGGAGCAGGTCCATGCACCTGAATGGACTCATTAGCTTCTCTCTGAAGCTAATGAGTGATGCACAACCACATCTCTCACTCCTGTAACACAAGAAAATATTTTCCACCATTAACCAGTGGCACGTACGGGGTGTTTCAGCCAGTGATCCTTGAACACAGGGCGCATCTTCTTGTGAACCACCACTTCTTGCAGGTCCTCAAGGGATGGATGCTGACCTATTTCTTCTTCAAAAGGCAGCATGTACTCATCCACTGGACCTAAGGTGCACACGGAGAACTGGGTTAGTACAGAAATGTCCTCCACGGAGCCACATCCTCCCCATGCATGAGTGAGCTGTGGCTCCAGAGCAACCTCAACACATCACAGCAAAGCCTGAAGTTCACACGACATTGCAGACAAACGTGATTCACATTCCTCCTCCACAATGGCCTTTGCTGTCCCTGCTGCTTGTCTGGTCAGACATTTTCCACCTTATCGAGTTATGAATCCAAACCCTCAGCCGGGCCTCCTGATCCCACCACCCTCCTTGAGGAACCTTGCCAGGTAGTCCACGATTTATTTTAGTAGTAAGAGGAAACCAGCCAGCCCTCCTCACATTTTAGCATAGAAATTCAACACACAATAACCTAGAGAAAGGTTTCAGCACAAGCATAAGTTCATTTTAGCCACTGACTAGCAAGGTCAAGCGTATGCAACACTTGTAACTTCTTGCTTTGTGATCTGGCTTGCTGGGAGGTTTGAGTCAGCCCTGACACGCTGGAGCCAGGCACACTTGTCCCAAGTACCAGCTCCTAAGTGCAAAATGCTTTCTGAACTCTTTAGTTCTACCAGTCGTGGCTGTGAACTGCCCCGGGCCCCAGGAATGAGACAACTGTTACAAGAATCACTGCGGACGCTGGATGGCAGCAGTAACTTCTGCTTACTGAGCGGTCACTGGGCTTCTGGCAGGGTGCAGATACCCTCACAAATGGCAGCTCAGCTTAACTGATGGGCTTCCTCAGGTTGCTCTGCAGCATCACTTATGGTTTCTCAGTAGCAAAGAGTGACCTCTTGCAAGAGGAGAGATATTTCAAGATGGCCTTTCCAGACTAAAATGAAAGAGCTGGCCACTTTAGCTGGTCATGAACCATGACATCAACAACATGATGTTTATGTACTCTAAAAAAAGATGAAATCACTTCAACAGCTTATCATTACTTTTGTTGACCAAATGCCAGTCACTATATCAAACTGAAACACTCCCTCCAATGGATGGCACAGCAACCTTCCATTCTTCCTCCTCCAAGAGGAATCTAAGGCTATGAAGACCTGCACTGGTGATGTCCAAGCCAAATCTACTGTTTACACATCTTCTGAGCTAGAAGTGCAGGTGAGGTTCAGTATAACTCCCCATCATCCCAAAGGAAGCCTTCCCTCTTGTTTAACAGTGCTGTGTATGGCACCTGGACTACCTTGGCCAGCTGCTGCCTGAGAAGAATTGGAAGGAGATCACAAACATGACATCAAAATCCAAGTGGATGTTTTGGGGGTCTCAACAGAGAAGGGTTATTCTTACATGAGTGACCTGGGAACACTCTTTCACTCCACTGTGCATCTACCTCCATGTTCCTCTGGCATTTTACCTGCTTGTGAAGTGAACTTTGGAAGAAAAGACCTTCTCCTACCCCACACCTATGCAGACATCCTAATTATAATCAAGCTTCTCGGTCCTACAGGAAGACTAACAAAAACATTTGAAGTCCAGGTGAGGTACTGTTAATTTATAAACTTCATATTCAGTCCAGTGCACCCATATACCTACACAAGAGTAAAGAATTTGGAGCAACCAGCCTTGGAACTACTACAGTAATATGATTGCCTCCAGGAGCAGTGGCAAGGTCCTGCAAATGGCAAGGGTTCACTAAAGGGCAGATGTGCTATTTGGACAGAAAAGATGCCCTGTTTTGTAGCATCATTTTAGGATAAAAATAATCTGAGGAAGGAGACACCATAGAAGTTCATTCTTTTGGATCACTCAGGAGAAAGTGAGGTCCTCTAAAGCTGTAGATGGAAACAACAAACTCAGCCCACTGCTCAGAGAGGGCTTGATCAGCAAACATAAAGATTAATACTTAATGATTTAGGACAGCAGGGAAATGGGCTTGCTAGCCCAAGAAGATCCTTCAGGCCCTGTGTTCCTGCTGTTTCACTGAGGTGCTTCACGTCTGGGCTTTCCATTCAGCCTAACACAGAACCCTGCAGAAGTGAGGTGTGACAGCCAAGCCAGAGCTGAGCAAGGCTCTTTTCTAGAGCTCAGAGCCTGCTTTGGCCACAGGCAGGAGTGAGAGTGCCATGGAGAGCAGCACAAAGCAGGCTCAGGCTAAAGGACGCTCACCACTGATGGAGGAATCACCTACTCCTCCCTCTGAGTTCTCAGCCAATTTGCCATGTCACCAGCACAGTTAAAAGCACTTTGAGGCTTGAACATTACAATGGTTATGTTAAAGAACAAGCAAGTGAAAACCAGGTTAGCTGCTTAATAAAAATACATCAATGAATATTATGGTTTTTTAAACAAAGCCAGGCCCATTCTTTGGACCACTACATCGTGCTGAAACAGAGCCCTCCTCAGGGAAGAGCAGATCTTTCTTCTTACCATCAACTGCTCTACATCTGGAGACTAGCTCCCACAACACCAGTCCCATTGCATACATGTCTATCCTCAGGAAGGCGTCTCGCTGGAAGTTGATTGCTCCCTCCAACACTTCGGGAGCCATGTACCTCCTCGTTCCCACCTGCAGAGAGACAACACAACTCAAGTTACATTCCAGTTGGACCCACCAGCCTCCCCTGCTTGCAGATGAGTGACAGCTAGTCTCATCAGCCTTAAGGCTACTTCTGCTAACTGTGCACCTCACTTGGTTAGGCAGATGCTGGGAGGAAGGTTGGACTTGATGATCCTAGAGGTCCTTTCCAACCATAGTGATTCTATGAAGAACAAGCAAAAGAGAGCTGCTTTTTCTGACACCAATTCTCATTAAAATCACTCAGGTCTAGATAAGCTACCTAAAGGAAAAGGCCAAAGTGCATGACTACATGTGTGATATTCATTCAGGGTATGCTACAGGGCTAATTTCAATGCAGTGTGGCATGGTGAGCATAGATGAAATCCTGCTTTCCCTGCATCCCACTGCATCGTGTTCCAGCAGCACAGGCTGCAGGAGAAAATCCTCTCTTTGGAGACGTGCAAAACACCCTGAGGTCAAGTCAGACTTGGTTATTGGTGTCACTGAAAGTTCAATCCCCTTTCACTCAAAAAAGAATTATACATACTAAAAAAATAAAGAGAGAGCAGTAAAATTGATGTATCCTGAAATGGTAGGAGAAGGTGTTGGTTTGACAGCCTTGGCTAAAGCCAGCCTCCTGCATCCACAGGAGCAGTAAACCACAAACCCTGCAAAGTCTACCCTGCCCTGGCTTGCTGTGATCTGGTTGGGAAAAGATACCCCCTAGTTTTGAGGGATTCAATCTTCATAACAGTGCCTATCCTGTTGTGTTTAGTCCAGGGAGAGCCACACTGAGCTGCTCATGTAGGTGTGGTTACACACAGAGCAGAATTACAGCCTGTGATGTAGGGCAGTGGAGAGGAGAGCCAGGGAAAAGCACTTTTTTCCCACAGGAACTGAAATGCCTTGAATATTTTCCTTTAGGAAATTCTCATCTGTTCTTGCTGTTCCCTGAGGCAGTGGGGACAGGGGGAAGCCAGGACATGGAGAGGTGTGCAAAGGGCTGGAAAAGTCCAAAGAAAAGGTGGCAAAAATGAGGGAAGCTGGTGATGGGGGCTAACCCAGGAAAGCATTCCTCTTCCTCAGATGAAGGTAAAAATGGAGCCTGGAGATGGGCAACCAGAACACCCTGGAGGCCCAAGGAGAGGATGCTGGCCTTGCTGTGCCCTGGCAGGAGAGCAGAACAAGGCTCTGCTCGCTGCTACTCAAAGGCAGAAAATAAAGAACCCATCAAAATGTAGAATTGTTTGCACAGCACACAGCCAGCTTGCAAGACCTGCCACTGCCAAAGGTCACCCGAGCTGCCAGCCTGGCTGAATTCTTAAAACAACATGAATAATTTCAGGAGTATTAATATTTATACTGTAGTATTAGTATGAGTATTTGTGTTACGGTCTAGACAAGTGGTTGGTGCTGTAGGTGGGGAGCCGGCTGACAGAAGGTCCTTCTCAAACTAGCAACCTGCCAAAAGTGGGGTCCCCCAGGGATCAATATTGGGCCTAACGCTGTTTCTTATCTTCATAAGTGAGCAGGATGATGGGATTTCTTCACTATGAGGGTAGGGAGACACTGGCACAAGTTTCCCAGGGAAGCTGAGGATGCCCCATCCCTGGACATGTTCAAGACCAGGCTGGGTGGGGCTTTGAGCAACCTGGTCTAGTGGGATGTGTCCCTGCCCACAGGAGCAGGGCTAGAACTAGATGATCTTTAAGGTCCCTTCTGACCCAAACCATTCTATGATCAAGTGTACCCTGATGAAGTTTGCCAGTGATACCAAACTGAATGAGGAAGAGGACAGTCTGGAAGGGAGAGCCATGCTGCAGAACGACCTGGAGAGACTGGAAGAGTGGGCTAACAAGAACCTTATGAAGTTCAACAAGGAAAAGTGTAAGGTCTTGCACCTGGCAAAACATAATCCAGGAGTGCAGCACAGGCTGGAATCTACTCGGCTGGAGCAGCTCTGTGGAAAGGGACCTGGGCAGCCTCGTGGACCACAAGCTCAACCTGAGTGAACAGTGTGCTGCTGTGGCAAAGAAAGACAACAGGATGCAGGGTTGTATCAACAAGGGCATCACCAGGAGAGATAAAGAAGTCATTTTTCCACTCTACTCAGCACCTGTTGAGCCATACCTGGAATACAACGTTCAGGTTTGGTCCCTGGTGTACAAAAAAAAGATGTGGACAGGATGAGAAGGTCCAGAGAAGGGCCACAAAGATAATTAAAGGACTGGGAAGCTGCCATATGAGGAAAGGCTGAGAGAACTGGGTTCGTTCAGCCATGAGAAAGGAAGGCTTGAAGGAGATCTTATCACTATGCTCCAGTTTTTAAAGGGGGGCTACACAGAAGAGCAAACTTCCCTTTTGACAAGGAGTCACATGGAGAAGATGAGGGATGATGGGTACAAGTTATTCCTGGGGAGATTCTGATTGGACACAAGAGGAAAGCTTTTCACAATGAGAACAATCAATCAGCCACTGGAACAATCTCCCCAGGAATGTGGTGGATTCCTCAACGTTGGGCACTTAATACTCAGACAAGGTGCTGGGCCATCTTGTCCAGACTCTGCTTTTGCCAAGAAAGGTGGGACCAGATGATCCTTGAGGTCTCTTCCAACCTGGCATTCTATGATTCTATGAATAATTAATACCAAGACAATATAGAGTCAACAAGTCCCACATCTGAAGGAAGAAGTCCTCGGGCCTTGGGGCTGAGGGGACCTCATCTGCACAGCGGTCAGGAGGGTTCAGGCACTCTCTCCATTCCCCTAGATCAAAGCAGCTCCTGGAATTTATGTCTGAGAACAAGCTTTTTATGGAAAAGACAAATATCAAAGAGAATTATATGCATCTGTACAAACTACTCCTCCCCACGAGGAGCTACGGCAAGCCCAACTTTTAAAAATGTTATTGTTAAAGATAATGATTACCTGTCCATGAGTGTCCCCTGGAGGTTTTCCAGGTTCAAACCGTACAGCTAGTCCAAAATCAGCTAGCACTGCTGTCAAGTCGTTCTTCAGCAAGACATTTTTACTCTTGAAGTCCCTACGGACAAGCCAAGAAGCAGGGTTGGGAAGGGTTTATTATGGCACACATCTAAATCACATGGCAACACAGCACGTTGTACGTCTTTAGGCTTAGCAACCCCCCTTAAATCTGCTCCTTCCTTCCTTCCTCAGCTGCCCAGCACAGCCAGTGCTGGCAAATTCAGCTGCCTGTGTCCCCAAACCACAACCAGGCAGCCCTGTGCTGCTCAGCACAGTCGGCCCAACTCTCCGGTGGATGAAGATAAAAGCAAGGAGTGATTATGAAGGAGTGTTTTAATTAGAGCAGGCAGTATAAGGCACCTTTTCTTGCTCTGAGTTCCAGCTGTGGACACCCACCTCTGGGCACTTCTTACACTTTTCACTCCCAAGAACAAAAGCAAGGCAGGTTAAGGGGCTGCATTTACTCTTTATCCTAGTAAGGATGCTTCCTCCTATCTACAAAATGAGATCTTGGAAATTAGCAGATGCTGGTGGGACTCTCTTCCCCTTGACTCCACGCTTCAACAGAATTTTCCCATAGTCATCTATTACACTTATGTTTTAATTGCTGGATCAACCTTCCCTGGAGAACTCAGAGGGTTGGAAAGTAAGCAGGGAAGGGGGTGAGCCCACACTCAGCCAAGCTGTCAGGATCAGAGCGGGCAGCTGATGGGCAAGTGTAAGCATTTGCAGTGGAGGTGGTGAACCTCCTCTGTCTGAAGGTGGCTTTAAGGGGACACTTGTGTCAGTGCTGTGCTGCAGTGGGATCATTCCAGGGCAGCTCAGGTAAATCTGCAGAGTTGGAAAGCGGGGCAGGGGGGTGGAGGAGGCTCCCACTGAGATGCCTAACCAGTCGAGCCCTGTTCCCTGGGCTTCCCACATTTTCATCTGAAAAGGAATGTTTGGCAATCTAATTAAATTACAGACCTTAGACAGCAGATGGCAATTGTCCTGTATGCTCAGCATTATAATTTCCCTATCATCAATTCACTCGGTGACCCTGCTGATTGCAGGACATTGCAGGCCTGCACAAAATAATTAATGAGGGCAGATACAATTGTTCCACACTAGAGAGACCTGTCAAAATTCTTTGGGAAGAGAGAAACTGCTGGACCATAGAGAAGGGCTGTGGCCTCAGATGCCAGAGCACCAGCTCAAAGCACTGTGAGCAAAATCCAGCCTTTAGCACCCAGCCCCAGCTTCTGAGCTTAAACAAAAACAGAAGAAATGATTTTTCCTTTCTAAGCTAAACACAGCATGATGGACTTTTCTGGCTTGAGGATTAAGCCAGGGGATGCAAGTGTGAGGTTGGAGAGCGTCATATAGCCAGAGAACCCCAGCAGAAAACAGCCTCCATCACACCAAGGGGGCACACAGGGGTTTTAGGGACACGGTTTTGCAGAGCCTGCAAACCATTCATACCCCTCCGGTACACAAAAAAACACCATTCACCTAACACTTGCCACCTCAGAGGCCAACTGCTTCCATGCTGTAGCAGTTTCCCCACAGGCTTAGAAAACAGCCACAATTTAATGACAGATAAACTCCTTTGCTCGGTCAGCATTAGGGGATTATGCCCTCCAGAACGACAGAGATTGTGCATGAGATTTTTGCAAAGCAGTGGCTCAACAAGGACCACACAGAAATTACAAGGCAGTTGGCCTGAACAATGTGTTTCTGAAGCAAAGGGAGATGTAAACCAGTATCATGCTGTGGGCATTTGCTGCTGTTTTTCACCCACACTGCCCTTTGGGCATGCAACACTTGACTCCTACATCTCAAAATGCAGGGATTTCCCTTTGTGCTTCCTGTTTTCACCTCTACTTCCTTTCATTTCCCCATTTTTCCATGCTTCCCTTCCTTCCACAAACCACCTTGAACTGGCAAGTGTGAGCAGCAATATAAACACATCCAGGACATGGAGAAAGACCAGATACAAGCCATGCCAAGTAGAATTCCCATTAACACCATCCTAAAACGTTCACTGATAAAGGAAAGTGGCCTGAAAAGAAGAAAAACCATTTTTCTGTGTAATGCTTCAAACTAGGGATTAAGAGAGCAAGTGACTATGAGCAACCAGTGCATCAACACCATTCAAACACTGGAGATTTTCTTTTCAGCTTCCACGTGGGGGCACTTTCGCACCAACAAGCAATCCCATAACCTTAAGCCTCCTTGTAGTGCTGGGGGCCAGTACGGAATTAGCTGAACCCCTGCCCAGCATTGACTGGGAGAGTCCCACCTGGCAACTCCAGCATCTTCACAGGCATTGTGTGAAGCCATTCAGAAACACACCTCCCCCCTCAGTTTTAAAAAGTATTGGGCATTTTCTTTTAGAACAAAACTAAAAGGAATGGGGTAATCCAAGGGAAATCCCTTGTGTCCTGAAATCCCTCTTCCTTAGGTATGTGCTAAATTCACACAAATGGTGCATTCTCCATCTTTTATCATTTGCTAAATGGATGGGGACACTAATGAGCACGATCTGCTGCTTTAAAGCCTTTCTATAGCCTTTCTCTGTTCCCCACCCTCAGGAATTTTCCTGTCTAAACCACTGCCTTTATTCCACCGGGACAAATGTCAGGGACACAGGGGTCAGCTCCAGGAGCAGCACAAAGGCAGCTGCAGCCTCTTTCAACAGCCCTCAGCAACTTTCAGGTTCAGGGAGGGGGGTTGTTTTGGGGGTAGGGACACCCTTGCAAAACCAGGGATTTGTCCCCACTAGACTGGGTACAAATTACTGCTGCTGGATGTGGGGTGGGAGTCCCTCCTAGATGAAATGCGGGGGGTGGAGGGGGAGCCCAGACATGGATTATGGCGTGTAGCCCATATAAATCCCTTCTGGAAAACTCCCCCCTCCTGCACTGCCACTAGCAAACTGCTCAGTAGAGATGCTTTAGCCCAGGGCAAGCAATTTTGGACTTGGGAGAAGAGCTAAACCAAATACCACTGCAATGAGGATGATGTGACTCACTCTTTCTGGATTCTCACTGTCCCCATGGTGCTGCCACCCAGGTAGGCTGAAGCATGTGTCAAGAGTTCTCAGAGGCACCATGGTGCCTGCTATGGTGTCTCTCAGCACCCTGGCATGATTTGGGCACTATAAAACTACAGTGAAAAATAAGCAGCAGCCGTTTTCTGCACTTCTACAGATTCTCCTTTTCTTACCTAGCGATCAAAAGCTCTGTGGGAAGACACGAAGTGGAGTTACCAGCCTAAAACACTTAGGGAAAAACAGGGTCCAAATCTTGGTATGGCTGTAGAAATATATAGATTTAATGGGATTTATCAGGCACAGTCCTTTCAAAGAGTGGTTCTGCAGCAACCAGATTTTCCCTTCCCACTGCATGTTAAGAGTTGATGGAAGAAGGAAGCACCTACTCTTGAGACACCTGCCATAAACCATTACCAGCCATAGCAACTGTTTCATGGACAAGATACTTACTTGCCCTTCACCATTTCATAAGTGGTTGTAAAAAATACTCATCTCAGCAATAGGATTTGTTGGGTTACTTCCCAACTGCCCCACTCACTTCTTAAAAGCACAATCTCCTCCTCCAGCATCATTTCAAAAGGGTTGCAAACATCTGAATGCAGCACTTCAATGGTGTCAATGAAAGAGGCCATACCTGTGTGCTATAGCAGGTTTGTGTCCTTCACCTTTGCACCAAGGGACGTCTTCATGAAGGTAGGACAAGCCACGGGCCATTGTTTCTGCAACATGGCAGAGCTCATTCCAGCTGATAATGTTGCCCTTCAGGTAATCTGTCAGAGAGCCCTGCAAAACAGGACATCACACACTCTTACTCGCAGCCCCTGCGACATGCCAGATGTGCCAACTCATCAGTTTGGGAAACGGTTTTAATGAGACCTTTAGAAATTTGAACCTTAACAGGGGAAAAAAAAATCACTAAGGAAAGTAAAAAAGAGGAAATAAAAACCAGAAGCATTCAGCCCTTGACAGCACAGAAAGTATCTGGATGTCTAAAAGGAGTCTACTAATCTGCCAGGAAGGGGAGGGAGGTAAGGAAGGGACAAAATCATCTCAGAACAGAGCAATTCATCTGACCTAAGAAAGAAGAAAGGCTTCCATGCAAGAAGATGATGCATCGTATCAGCTGGTTGTGGCAATGATTGACTCAGTAGACCTTGGATTAAACAGAGGGATAATGCTGCTGGCTCAACCCCGGATTTGTGTGTGTTTGTTTTATTTAAGTGTTAGTCATGTTTGATAACTAAAGCAATCCATGAAACGGGAGATATGCCCCGAGCTCCAAAAGCAAATACAGAGCCCATATGCAAAGGGCGAGTTGGGACTGCAACAGTGTACAACACCTGGCTCCCACGTGCCCATCTAGGCACGGCAGGAGATGGTGACCATCACATACATGAGCTATGGCCTTTGGGGCCTCTCATTCTCCCCATGTCCCACCTTTATCCATCTTATGTTTGTGCAGGAAAGCCTTGAAAGCTAAAGGAGGTGCCTCTGAAGGAGAGGAGCAGGATCACTTCACCACCACTGAGCCACGGCTCACCAGGGACAGACTGGATAGATAACAGGGGGAAATATTAGATACCAAATCCTACTGCTTCACAACCAGCCACCTCTCTGCCTTCCCAAAAACGTGCGTGCAATGATACGTTACCTTGTCATGGAAAGCTGTGATCAGCCAGAGCTCTGTCTCCAGGCTTGTCCCTCTTTTCTCTGCTGCGATAAATTGCAAAAGGTTTTCATGCTTCATGCCAGGGGTACTGAAAATCTCCCTCTCACTCTGCCAAGATTGCTTATCCTAAAGCAGGGAGAAATGCACCATCAAAGATCACACTTCCCTTTGCAGCAAGCAGCTCCTTCAGCTCAGTCAGAGCTGCTCACAGTCCCCTTCATACCATCCTCTAGCATTCTGACGTGACGTATCCCTTCAAAATGAGGCTGTTTTTCTACAGGGTAGATGCTGGAGTAAGACTGAAAATTGATGCTCTCAGTCTCCCTTTCCAAAACTATCCTCAGCTATTCCTAAGGCACATGTGTGGGGAGAAGGAATCCAAACAGCCTCGCTGAGAAATAAGACTTGTCCAAGTCTTATTTCCTAAGATGCCTCCAAGACTAAAGGCTGTGCATACAGCACCCGGATCTGCACTGTGGCTGCAATTGTTACGACTGCAAAATCTAATCTAGGCTCTATTGAATATTTACTAGTAGGTCACAGCTGGCTTGGACAGAAGATGTGCAAATCTCCTTTAGCAACGCTATGACAACAAATCCCGACCGAAAAATTAACAAAGGAGGAGACAGCAGAGGAGCACAAAGATGGTTCAGTCACTCTTCTTTCAGTTGACTTTTGATTGCTTTACTCTTTCTATCTGCAGTTCCTCAAGAGCCAAGCCAGGAGTGTTCAGAGGTTTCCTAGAGTGGAAGACACGGGCTGACAGGAACGCTGCAGTGCAATTAGCTCTCTCAGCGCCGGGGCTGGGCCTTTGTAAGCTGTAAACTGTTTGCTAGGCCTGGGTCCGAATTTACAACCTGCCCAGGCAAGATACACAGAGCTGAGGCTTTGGTCCCTCGGGTGCACTTTGGGCACCGCAGCTGCACGCTGCCTTGCTGGACTTTAACAACACGGATGTCTGCAGTGAAGTTAAAATACCCTGTAGACTTCAAAACGTGCTCGGTTTTGTCCCTCTTGCAACAACTACTACTACTACAGGAAGCATTTGGCAATGAGATAACACAGAGAAAAGTGTAGGAAGGGAAGGTCCTTGAACTTTTTCCCTCAGCAGAAGAATCCAAATGCATCTTTGTTATGGTCTTAAAAACACCTCTGTAGGCACTCTCAGCACTGGTGAGGAAGCCCAGCGAGTGAGAACTTAATGCAATGCCCTTCTCACCTGAATAGGGAAGATCTTCACTGCTACGTAGTCATTCATCAGCTGAGCTTTCCACACACAGCCAAAGCGTCCCCTCGCCTTGATCTCCAAGAGCTGCAGAGGCTTTAGGCCAACAAGGGGAGAAGGGGGCGGTGGGCCAGGGTCCTGCATGGGAGAAAACATTGCCACCAGTTGAAGCTGGACTGGAAAATGAAAGGAAGGGAGGAATGGAGAGATTGCACGTGGGGAAAGAAGCATAAAGAAGTGATATTTTATTTAACAGAAATTACTTAGATGTACTGTTTGCAGCAAGAGCAGCCTGAAATTCCCTGTCTTGCTTTGTGGGGTATCTGTATACAACATACATTACAATCTAGGTCTCCAAGTGTCACTTTGTGTATCCAACTACTGCCTGTCATCCTCTGGCAAAACCTGAATTCTCCTGTTTTCAAAGCAAGAGCTATATTTGGGCTGTAAAACACCTATGACCTCAAGGTTACCACCTGCCAAAAGTAGGAACTTTTTGATCTTTGTGACCCAACAGCCAACTACACCTAAAACCTCTCACTGCTTTGCACTTCATTAGGCATGTTTCACATAACCCTAGCAATGGGCAGTGAACAGGTCTGTCAGCATCATAAAGATCATTATCTGTTTAAACTCTGCATTTGTCCAGGAGAACAACGCAAGCCTGCAGGACACGTGGGGTTGGAGCTCTGTCCTATCTGCTCTCAGATAGGAAAGGTTCACCGTGTGGGCTGTAATGAGCATAGGAGGGAGAGGTATCTCCTTGGCCCTTCAGAAGAAAGTAGAAGGCTCAGTGCACAGCAAAGCCAGCAAGGACCAGTTCCCAATGGCCGTGGGCCACGAGGATGACCTCCTGCATGCATTCTCTGATAGCTCATAAAACCTGAACTCACCCCATAAAGCTGGTAGGAACTTTATCATCCCTCTGATCTCTGCTCCTCTGCAAAGTTGTCTGAAATCAAGCAACGGGTTTGAAAGTTTGGAGGGAAGGGCTGCCACTGAGCAGGGCTGTGTAATTCCATCATCCCTTAGGAATCTTGGATGTGGTGCCAACCCCATCTAAACCCTCCAGCCTCGCAGAGGATGCTAATACCATCAACTTCAAAAAGACAGAGAATTTAGGCCACTTGAAAAGAGTGAAGCAAAAGTGGATGTGAAGATGCCCTTTGTGATGGCCACATCAAGGGGAGCGACTCCCTTACCTCATTAATGTCAACGTGCCCGTAGGGGGGCTTGCGGTGCCGGTACATCCAGAAGGCCAAGAGGATGGCGATGGAGAGCACGGCGATGGGCAGCAGGGAGTACACCAGGATGTTAAAAGCGTCGGCGGTGGCGGCTCGTATATGACTGACAGAAAAATCAGGGCAAATGAGGGAAAGGACCCTTCAGGCATGCAACAGCACTGTCAACTACACATCCAGATGCAACCCCATCCTTCCTTCTACTCCAAAGCTCACAATGTTCAGTGGCACGTCCCATCACATCCAACAGTATTCATAAGGCTCCTCAGTTTACTCTTTTCCATCTGACTATTAATAATGGAGTTACAGTGGTCCAAACCACGCTCTGCAAGCCAAGCCTCCATCTGACCTTTAATTAAGATGGGTATTTCTTGCTGGAATACGTAAAACCAGAATATTTCCTCCTCTTAAGCCTTCTGAATGTAGTAAGCGAGCACGAAATCCCTCGCAGCATTGCTTTGCCTTTTACAGTGATTGACAAGATGTCAGTTTTTAGTAAAATGCTGCTGGAGCCACAATCAAATGCACTATTCCCACAGTAGTTCTTGTTCCAAATTACATCAGTGCAGTTGAGACACAAACAATGGGAATACTAAATGGAGCCATGTTGCTATGTTGGAGACAGGGAAGGAAAAAATAGCAAGACTTGCCAAATTAAACAAAAAAACTGTGAGAGAAAGAGTATTTGCTACTAGGTTGCTACGGGTACATTAATAACAGGAGATAATAAAACCCATGTAAACAATTAAAAACCCACAGGAAAGCCTAGGAAAATCTGATAGTGTTCTACTGGAACATCTCAGTAAATGTAGGTACCTGATAGCAAAATAAACCATCCTAAGGAAAAGATACACCTTCATTAATTATTTTTATTGAATGACACAGCTAAAAGAATCATCATTCTTCTAGTATCCTCTGAAGAAGGACCTACTATTACTTTCCTTCTTTGAGGTATATCCACAAACTGTGAAGGCTGACACAAACACTCATTCCCTTTCAATCCCCACAGCAACAAAACAGCAGTCAAAGGCAAAAATCCCAGGTGCTCAAAGTATTTGGAGATTTGAAGACCTGTGACCTATGAAAATTAATGAAGAAGGTGCCAAATACCTTTAAAGAGTTTGAGTCTTGATCCATGCTGTATAAATCACTCTGCCCTCTTCCCCTTGTGCAGGATTTTGTTTTGTAATGTCCTGCTGTGAACGTCCACCATAAAGAGAGCTTAATCCTTACTAATGGTATCCAAGGTGTTGGTACAACACATTTTACTCACAGAGTGAAACAACCTTAAAAAACTATTCTTAAAGAACAGTAGCTGAAGGGTGTCTGGACTTTGTAACCAAAAGGGTACTTTGTGTCCTGTTGGATGTATTTTTTTGCTCAACACCCAGCAACTGAAAGTCTTCAGAAACTGGGTGTAGAGGAGAAGACCCCAACTCCCCATCCAGCAGTCACTCACCTTCTGGGCCGGTGACTTCAGGCAAATGTGTAAATTTCTCATTGCAATAGTTGCCCTCACAACAGCAGAAAAACACTTGAGGGTTTTCTTCTGTGGCTACGCACTCCTGCCTGCATCAGAGAGGGAGAGACAAAGCAATGAAGGGAGGAGAAAAAACAATGCCAGCTAACTCCTGCCCCCTCTCTGCAAGCTGACCTGCCCCAAATTTTTTTCTCCACGCACCTTCTCCTGCTGCTGAGCTGCAGAGATCGACAGTCTCCACTTAGAGCAAACAACCTGGCACTCCAACACCCCAGCGGAGAGCAGAGACCCTTGGAAAGCCCGTAAAGGAAACAAATGCTTCCATATGCACCGAAGGCATTAGCTGGTGAGCAATAAATAACAGCCGCTGCCGCCAGCTGAACGGGGAGCAGAAAAGGATGGAGAGAAGCCTCGTTCCCTGCACAGTGCCCTGCCTGCAGCCCGCACCTACGCTGCCAGGGGAGAGGAGAATTTGATTGTGCAATTAAAGATGGTGCCATAAAACAGGTATGACGAGGGCTGAGCTGAGACTGGTCTCACAGCCTTGAGCATCCCTAACTCTCTGCACTAGAAGGTCACCAGACAGCACCAGCAACAGTCCTGCTGCAGGGTTGGGGTGTTTTGTTTTGTTTTAAAGTTTAATATTCAAATGCCATCTCTTTCTCTTTTAAAAAAACTTATTCCTGCACAAAAGCCTTTAAGAAAATCATGTTGCAGCTCTCTTTTTTTTATATGCCTGTTATCCAGGTAGCACTGAGGTTTCCCTCCATACTGTGCAAAGTGTTAGGGGACTTCCATGGATCAGACTAACTCCACTTCCACACATCCTTCCTCTCCCACAGATCAATGACAAGAGACGTGCAGTGATGTTTTGCAGTGCTCTAGCAGTCATCATGCTCTGTCTTAAATGCCTGCTTTCCTTCCCTGCCACCTTTTCCTACATTACCCTCTGATTTTAGTTATTAGGGTTGCAGAGCTGCTCTCTGCAGAGAACTGTATCAAACTATTTCCTGAAGCCCAGCTAAATTATATGCATAACTTCCTTCCTTTGACCACTTGGAGGAAGTAGCAAAACAATCGTATGTGTTTGACATTATTACTCATTTATGAACCCATGCCAAGCCTCCCTTTCTGTGGTATCACTGACATACTGCCACAAGAAGAACAGAAAGGGCTGTCTTCAATCATAGAGAGCAGGGTAGTTTTTGGTGCTTCATTCCTTTCTGGGGAAAAAAAAAGTTGCTATAGATGAAATGTCTCCTGCAAGGTCTCAGCTGGGAAGCACTTGGTTTGTTTTTTGGGCTTTTATTTTTTTAAACTTCAAAGACAAAAAGCAGCTATTTGACTTATTCAGATGAACAAAGATGTTTCAACAAGTTAAGCAATGTTTCCAGATGCTTTTTCCCAAAATCAGATAACGAGCCGTTTGGATTTAACAGCATCAGTATTGGAGTCTTCAATAGAAAACACATCCTTTGCTAAATCTGTTGGTTAAGAAATCAAGCTAATGAGTGAAAACAGCCTGCTCCACATCTGCAATTCATTACCCCTGTCTTTGAGCTGGTGCACACTCAGGGCAGCCATCCAGGTACGTCTGACACGTTATACTTAGCAAGTATTACAAATGAGACAGTGGGAGAGAATGACACATTTTCTACGGCAGTGAGGGCACATCTCCTAGCAGTTCACGTGCTCTTCAAGAAGAAGTGGACACAACCTCTCTGGTGGGGCCGTGTAAATATACAAAGAGCACACAAGTCAATTTTTAAACACTACCTTTTTCCTATAGCCTTAAATGTACATGTGCCACGTTCTTGTTTCCTTAAGATAAAGAACAGAGTAAGGAGCCATGACCCTCAACGTCCCAACCCTTGCACTCCTACTTCTTTCACCTTTCAGTGACAAGGAGGCAGTGTCTGGTACACACCAGCCCCGAGAGGAGCTGCAGCCTGGCAGAAGAGGACTGTGCCCTGCATCCAGGGGACACTTTTGCAGATATAGGTACAGGTGCATCTCCCGAGGCTGCACCCAGGACCTCACCATCCAAAGGTGCTGAAGACAGAGACAAAAAGGGCACCAGCACAGCACCGCCAATCAAAATCATTCTTTTAGCCATTTTTTGCCATCTTGGGATGCAACACTACCTGCATGAAAAACTGTGGAGGGCACCCAAGGGAATGAAACAAACCAAAATAAAAAGACTGCATTTAAACAGCCTTTATTTAATTATAGCTAACCTTTACTTCATATGTTGCTTTCAACACTTGCACTGTTTGTTAATCCTCAGAAGATCTTTTAGCTTTGCCCTGCAACAGCAGCTTTGAAGAATCAGGCTGAAGGATAATGGATGCTCAACCCCGGGGCTGCAAAAAGGCTTGTGAGGAGCCCTGGAAACTTTTTACCCTGCTAACAGCAACACATTATGACAAAGTTTAAGAACCACTACATCCCTGCACTGAGACACTCAGTGACAATACAAGTGTCACTGTATAGGAGAGCAGGCACTGAAAGGAGAAAGCTGTTTACAGTAAACACTTCTGCTTGGAAGTAGGAAACTAAGAGTGACCTTCTGTTCTCAGAAGGATCGGCATTAAGATGACTAATGGGCCAAGGAGGATTGATTTATTGGGAAAGAATAAAAATTTAACTATACATAGAGCTTGGCTACACAAATGGCCAGGGAATAGGTGTGGTGAGAAAGGAACCCTGGTGTTAATAATAGAGCGAAGATGAGGAACAACTCACAGCTGGGATAAGCTGAGACAAGGGGCACAAAAGCAGGGACAGTGTACAGTGCTGAAGGGAGAAAACTCTCCAGCCATAGGAGAAATCTTGTCCCAGCTTCAGCCTGCAGCTTAGGACCTGATGTCCTGAAACTTTTGGAATGAGAAGCTGCAAAGATGCGCAGCTGGGAATTGCACAAAGATGAGATCAACCTACATTTGTGTTATAGCAAGGGAAATCCTTGAATTTTATGTTCTGTTAATCCTTATTGAAAGGACTGGGTTTGGAATGGTTGCTTAGTCATTGGGTTTTTTTTAAAAGAAAGACTAAGACTAAAGATACTTAACATTGTTCTTTTAAACTGTGAAACTTCAGAGAGCTATTTTCTTTAGCTGTAATTCTTTTCCCTTCTGTAGAACTGCATCAAGGGAAATGAGAAAAGACTAGTTTATTTTCCCTGCTATTTAATGAGGCTAGAGCCTTTGTACTACAAAACCTTGCTCCTTCTCAGCTCACTACAGGCAGCAACACACAAACCCATGTATTGCTTCTCCTCCCCTGCTCTTCCTCCTGGCCTGTCTCTTAACTCAGCTGAAGAAGAGTGAAACTCTTTGCAAAGTCAGAAACAATGGAGTATCCCAACCTCTCACTACCCCCAGTATCTGTGCTAGCTTTTCTAGAGAGCTCCAAATAATTCCAGGTTTTCCTCTGTATCACCAAATGCTCTTGAAAAAACACATTGGTACAGGACACCTTTTTCAACACATGCCAGAACTAGCAAAGCTTTGCTAAGGAAAAAAAAACAAACAAACAACAACAAACCAACCACAAAGAAAAAAAAACAAACAAACCTAGAAATGCCTTTGAATCTTCTACTTAGAAAGTCAAGGCAGATAAGTGACAATTCTGAGAACTGCATCAGCAACAGAAGTAGCTACAGGGGATGAATGGGCAAATTGACGTGGACTTGGTTCCTCCATGAAAAAATCATGAGCCTTTGCACTTAAGAGGAACAATTAAACCTGTATTCAGAAAAAAAAACTCGTTAAGGTATTACCTGTCGTAACAGTTGAAGTCATCTAACCAGCAGCCTTTCTTCACCAGCTCGATGGAGCCCGAGTTGTTTCTCCAGGAGGCATAGCAGTGGAGCCGCTTGTCCTTCTCCCCCTCGCAGCGCTCCACCCCGCTCTGGTTGGTCTTCTCCAGCTCCCAGTTGGCGTTGTAGTAAATGCATTCCCTCGTCTCAGCCTCCCCATGGCCTGGTCCTGAAGCAAAATTCAAACCCCAAGTACGTTCAAGCAAAATCAGAGAGACATCCTGGGAGATGTATCTCCACGTGGCTTTGCTTTAGATGCTGCATACGTTTGCCTCCCCGGGAGCCAAGCAGCTCACTGATCTGACTTTCAGCATGGTGTGGAGGGTTAGTCTCCTTTGCTTGTGTGAGGTGGGGAATGGAGAGGTCACGTTTGCCCAGGCTCACAACAGGAGCTCATGCTAGGGTTAAGAGCCCAGCTCAGACTCCCCCCCCCCCCAACAGGTTTCCTCTGGGCAGCACTTCAACCATAGAACCCTAACAGTGGGATGTACAAGGCAACCCATACCCAGAATTTTCTATCCACAGAAACCCTGTTTAGGAAGGACAACTTCCCAGAGTGCTACGTGCTGCTTGCTGGGATGGCACACAACAGAGTTACCCTCCCTCTCCACCACTATTTTGGGAAACACTACCTAAGAACAAATGATTTTGTACGTGGATAAGATAAGAGAACAGAGAACAGATAAAAGAATCTGAGAACAGATAATATTCATCCTGCAGAGGAGGACCAGACTAATGCCTATCGCTCAGATGTCAGTTCTGGCTTATTTGGAAAAGTCTCTGTAGGATAAATGCCATGGTTTTAGCTGCAGTTGTCACAGCTCACGCTGCTTCTCCATCCAAACAAGACCTTCAGCTTTGTTCCCCAAACAACTCTGGCCACCCCAAACGGGCGTTTGGCCACCACAAACAAAGGAGTCTCCATAACCTGTGGGCCTCTCTTCCTTTAAAGCATTGTTCCAAAGGACCAAGGAGTTCCTACTGCCCCATGGGAAACAATTCCCCCATAGCCACCATGGCACACAGAAACACAATTACAGATGCATCCACTAAAAATGGAGTCAAGTAAGGAAACCCTGGTATCTGCAGGTGACCCGTTTTGTCTGAAGCTTTACAAATCCTCTCTTCTTTTGGAAATATTCCACTTTGTGGCATTTTGAGGATTAGTTTAAAATGAGAAGAAGGATGAAACAAATAACACGACTCGTAAGCAGCCAACCAGAAAAGGTACCATGAAGCTCATGATTTTGTAAATCCTGTGATGCCCTGCAGCCATCTCTCTTTGGGACTACCCAACCTAAGGCAAGGTCAGGCCTGGCCATTATTTTGATAGACTACAATCATGGAAAACATAAGTATCCCAAAAAAGTGTGTTGGCTGAGTAGAAAACATAAATGGGCCCTGCAGGCTGGTGAAATCAAAGTGCTGTGCTCCCAGAATAGCCAGACCTTTGCAAAGCATACAACTAAGTTTCTGGCTGGAAAATTCTGCAGTGCTTTCATGACTGTCTTCTCCAAAGGCCATGCAGACCTTTAATGTTGAGATTAAGGCAGTCAGGGCTGTGTATGGACATGTAAATACAACCCAGCCTCACTCAACATGGCAAACCAGCCACATCTGAAAGGTTTCTCTACAAGGGGATGCAATTCAGTCTTCACAAGACACTTAGTGGTGTCTTACACCTGGCAGAGAAAATACCAACACTGGGTACAGGCATCAGCTCCAGGCCCTGCATACCTTCTGCACGTTCATCATGCCCATACCTTAGCACCAATCTGCTACTGACCTAAGTCCCCCCACAACACCAGCTGGAGAAGAGGGTATTCCTTCCAGCTGAAGACCCAACACGCCAAGTTTATGAACAACTTGTCCCAGGTGAGCAGGATGCTGGGGTGAGTCTGACCTGCCTTTCCATAGCCTACAATTCCTCACGTTACCTAGTCTCCAAGCTATTACCTGGTGGCAGGATTCACCTCCAATTTTGCAGTGCATTAGAGGTGGCGCTTGAGCTGGAAAACACATTCAAGCTATTATTCAGTGTAGCCTGATTTGCTGCAAGGCATCAACCTTCTGCTGCCAACAGCCATCAGGCAAGAAGTGCAGATGACCTGGCCACAGAACACAAGTGGAACTGCAAGAAGGCTGCAGAAGAAACTATGGCTTCTGGACAAGTTAGAGGTGATGTGGCCAACCTGCTCCCAATAATGGCACCTGGACACAGAAATGGGTAATTTTCATGGTTCAGAGCAAGCCTGTCAGACTAGAAAGACCTCTTTGCACACTGAAAAGCTGTACAGTCCTTCAATAACTCTTTTTTTTTTTTTTTTGGAAGAATGTTTTATCTGCATCGTGGGAGAAACTGCAAGGGAGGGGAGGTATGAGCAAGCCATAAAGCTGACTTCCGAAATTGGGAATTACATTCAAGGCACACACGAGCAAGAGCTCAATTTCAATAGCACCTGCAGGTTTTATCGGCACTTGCAAAGCTCCATCTGAGTTTTCCTCTGACAAGTTGCTTACTATAATAAAAACAACCTACCAATATCCCTCAACACGGAACAGTGTCAATATTGACACTCCTTGTTAAACCTTGATATTTGTTTCTCTTGATACTCACACCACGCTTTGTTAGGGCGGATTAAGCGTTTTTGCTAAATGCTGGTTAAATCAGCA